ACATAACCATAATAACACAACCTTAATAACATGACCATAATAACACAACCTTAATAAAATAACCTTAATAATCCAACCCTAATACCATAAGCTTAATAACACAACCGTAATAACATAACCTTAATAACATAACCTCAATAACATAAGCTTAATAACATAACCCTAATAACATAACCTTAATAACATAACCTTAATAAAATAACCTTAATAACATAACCATAATAACACAACCTTAACAATCCAACCTTAATAACATAAGCTTAATAACACAACCGTAATAACATAACCTTAATAACATAACCTCAATAACATAAGCTTAATAACATAACCTTAATAACATAACCTTAAACATGAGTTAAACAAAGTAGTCACCCAAGAACAGATAATTAAACTAGCCTACCCTAACCTAATCTGTATAATCTTAACATAAACCTAACGTAAAAAAGATCACCCTAAACTTACCACATAAACAATCTAAATAACCCTATTTAAAGAAACTATATAAACTAGTTAAAGTAAATTGTGCACCTAATTATTTTAAATTAATAATCCCTAACCCAATGAACTTGAAACAAACCTAACCTAAAGAGAACGTAATGAACAAATTGCAAATGGCGTTCGACGTTCGCTGTATCAAAATTCGTAGCATTATAAAGGAATATTTGTCGACGAATCGGAGTGTACGAATTGGAGAGGGCACTCGAGTGAGTCGCATCTCGGCCCTTGTGTAATTCATTAAATTACATCGATTACACGGTCCAGCGTGTTGCAGAGACCCCGTCGGAGGTTTAACTACGATTAATCGACGAACGATTCGCAGGCTATGGGATTCGAAGCTGAGCATTTTATTGCCTTATCCGCTGTACGGCGTCATCGGTGCCTCTTTTTCTACAGTTTTGTCTGCGGCTCGTTTTTTCTCTTTAGGCCTTCTACACTGTTCTAGTAACCGATCAAAGAGGTGACAAGGGTAGTCCTTAGAGAGAGACGTCGCCGATTTTAATGTCCAAATAGGGGTACGATTTTGGGGGACTACTAATGCGCATGCGCCTAGTGTACAAATATGGCGGTCGGAAAGAATAGTTTACTACACATTCGCCAGTAATTTATTTCTAATAATATTTTGTCATTTCTGTAACACTTTGATGTAAATACTTAGAAAGCTGATGCCAGTAACACAGAGAAAATTGGCGACAAATAGATTTTTAATTACTGGAGGTTCACATAAGAAATTCACTTAATTCAAATTTCCCGCTCGTTTGATCAAAGCTGCCTACATGGAGTGCCTCTTGTTTCTTTACTCTTTGTTGCTAGTTTTTGCGTTGACTTTGTACCTCTCGTTGGAAAATGGTTCTTTCTTGCTTCTAAGGGCCTAGTACAGTCGCAGCTAGAAACTAACCTGTAGACTAAAGTTCGACTACCTGTTACTAGCACAAGTTCTGACATAATGTAAGCGTCTAAGAGGTCAGCCCTGTCGCAGACTTTCATCGAACGCTTCACCCTGAAAAATTGCCGTCCATCGCTGAAATGAAGATTTACACGCTCGCCCCGATGCTTGGAATATCGTCGAGCCGAGAATTTAACGAGCTCCGGATTCCTTCGTTTGCTACCGGTTCTGTTAGAGTTCCTCTCGAAACTTCTGGAATATTATTGATTCTTCGAAACGACGTGTAACCGAAAACATATTTCGGTTCCGAATCGATGTTATTAAGTACCGATCGGCCTCGGTTACTTTTACGGTAAATTCAGGTTAAATTTATATCCAGGCTTCGTTCAACCGGGTTGGAACCAGTCTGATTTATATTTAATCGAAGTCTTCCGAACTATATTTATCTTCGAACTAAATTGCATTTGGGTTAAGTTTAGGTTAGGTATTACAGTTTATACCAAATCTGTACTTTAAGTCAAATTTAAATTCCCTGGTATTTTAAGGATGAGTTATAGTAAGTTTAAATAAGTTCAATGGAAATCAAGTTTTAGTTGTTTCATTTTATCAGAGCAATTTGTAGTTTGTACTGGTTAAGGTTATGTTGTTAAGATCATGGTGTTAAGGTTAGGTTGTTAAGATTGTCATGTTAAGGTTATGTTGTTAAGGTTAGGTTGTTAAGATTGTCATGTTAAGTTTATTATGTTAAGGTTAGGTTGTTAAGATTGTCATGTTAAGGTTAGGTTCTTAAGAGTGTCATGTTAAGTTTATTATGTTAAGGTTAGGTTGTTAAGATTGTCATGTTAAGGTTAGGTACTTAAGACTGTCATGTTAAGTTTATTATGTTAAGGTTAGGTTGTTAAGATTGTCATGTTAAGGTTATGTTATTAAATAGGATTATTTAGATTGTTTATGAGACAAAATTAGGGTGATCTTTTTTAGGTTAGGTCCATATTAACGTTATATAGATCAGGTTAGGTTAGGTTAGATTAATTATCTGCTCATGGTTGACTATTTATTTTAACTCAATTTTAAATAGGATTATTTAGATTGTTTATGAGACAAGATTAGGGTGATGTTTTTTAGGTTAGGTCCATATTAAGGACATAAGGATTAGGTTAGGTTAGGTTAGATTAATTACCTGCTTATGGTTGACTATTTATTTTAACTCATGTTTAAGTAGAATCATTTACACTGTTTATCTGACAAGTTCAGTGCAATCTTTTTTAGGTTAAGTTTACACTTTAACTCAATTAACTAAACTTAAGTAAGTCACGTGATATACAATTCACTTTGAAATAGTATTATTTAGACTGTTCAAATGGTATGTTTAAAGTAATTGTTTTTAAGTTAGGCGGACACTAAGTCAGTTAAGTAGTTCGTTGTCCACAAAACAACGATCGCTGGTCCACGAAAAGCGGAGAGAGAAAGAGGAAGGGTATAATAAACAAGAGATCCCGATCCACGGGTCCACAGATACGAAAGGAGATTCTATCTAACCCCGGATTAACTCGAACTGACCTGTGCGGAGAGAGGCCTTTTAGGGTAGCTACGCGATTAGAACAAAAGAGTTCCGCTTCGAAATGGTGAACTCGAAAATGGATAACCACGAAATGTAATTGCTCGAGGCTCGTTAAAGGGATTGTTTCATTCTTCTTTGATATTTCAACATCGCTGCTCGTTTTGTACACGCTCTTTGCCTGCTTTCTAAAGGAGTAATTAGCTGATCGAAATTAAATTAGGTTAACATTCAGTTGATAATTTAGGTTACTTCATAACTTTTACTCAATTGATAATTTTAGTTAATTTAGGTTATATGAATTTAATTACAAGATCTACGTAACCTATATTCAGACAGATACACGTCCTTCAGACTAACCAATATGCAAATTTAACGAAATGTGAAATAAATATGAAAGTAACCTAAACCCTCCTAGTTAATAACGTCATAATTTGTATCCACTTCCGGTATACCGACGCTCAATTTTTTGACAAGATCTCCCCGTTAGGGTACTGATAAACGGGCTTTTTGCGGGCCGTTTTCCCGGGGGTAGAAAGAGGGTGGCCGGAATTAAGACGATCATATTGCGTCGAAACAGAATCGTTTCGGTTGTGCCTTCGCGAAGGGTGAAATGTGGTTCGGTTATGGTTGGGATTGAACCAGCTTGCCCCAGCTTTACCTCACCTTTCTCCCTTATATTTCCTGCTATCGTTGTAAAACGAACTTATCGGCGAGAGGGGAAGAATTTGAACATTTCCGTTCCGAAACAGTATTTTCGTTACAAATATTTTCTCGGGGGAGAAGAAATGCTGGCGAATTAAATCGTTAGGAAAAATTGACTCCGAGTCGTCGATTTCTTGGTCGAACAGGGTGATTAAGGGACGCCGGAATGAGATTGAAACTACGAGAGTGTGTAGATAGACAAACGAGCAAGGGCAGTGTTTGAAGATCGACTTGTCCGTAGATGCGGGTAGCGATGGGTTTAAGTCGCTCCGAACAAACTCGAGCCTCGCGCAAAGTTCGATCGATCCCCCAAGAAAACGCGGAGGGCGAAAAGTGTGGGGCGAAGTTTTCAAGAGCAACGGAGGTAAAGATTACTCGGTGGTCCGTAAGAATTTTAATAACCGACCGCAAACCGAGCGATCTTTTTTCGCGGGCGAAATTGCTCGAAAACTCGCAACAAAGAGAATTGAATGGCCATCGCTAGAGGCGTGAGGTGTGCGCCAGCACGGTCTCCACCACCGCATCTACCACTACCATCGGTACCACCACCACCACCTCCACCACCACCAGCCAACGGCGCACCTCTACTTCGTTCCACCTCTACTCTACCACCTCGATCAGTCGACCCCGTGCAACGCGGCTCGCCGGCCGCCGCGCGAAAATTTATCCAAAGTCCGTTGCGTGTTCTCCGTTTCGTTCGTGTCGCGATAACCGACCCGTTCGAGTATCAGTTCGCCGGTTAAGTGGCAACCGTGACCCACGGAAAATCCGTTCGACGAGGTAGAACCGAAACGGAGGAGAACGTGGCTCGTGACAGGCGGACAGATAAAAAAAAACAGGCTAAACGGTGATTGAGCGCGCGTGCGTGCGCGAGTCGGTGCGTATGTGCCTCGAAACGTCGGAGTGAATTAGAAGACGCACGGAGAACGAGACACGGCGTGGTTAGAGAGTGGAGGCTGAACGGAGAGGATTCCGCGCAAAAGCCGGCTTCACGGCCGGTCCCCCACTCGCTAACTTGTTGAGTCTGTCTCGGCAGGTGTGCTTCGCGAGCCCTGGAACTCTCCCCGAGCCGCACGATGACGGACAAGCTGCCCGCGTTGCTCCTGCTTATCCTCGTGTGCACGGGCTCGACGAGGGCCAACGTAACCGCGCAGAGGAGCAACGTGCACAACGACCCCCTGGTGGTC